CTTGCGCAGCTTGTGGTGGTGCGTTGCCACTACTCGCTGAAGCATTTGTCATTGGTGGCACAGGACCACCAGCTGATGGCGGTGGCCCACCAGTCGGTCCACTGGGAGGGGCTGCTGTTTTCTTTTTCCTTGACAGGCTGAGATTCTTTATTTCGTGACGCGCTCCACGCATATGCTTCTTTACAATATTTGTCGCAGCATCCGATGCACTAGCAACCTTAGCAAGTCCACCAAAGTCCATCATCAAGTTTGCATGACGGAGTTCTTTCTTCGATTGTTCCGGCAACTCATCAGGCTTATCCTCAACAGCAGGCGGTGCATCCGTGATTGCTAGAGGTGTCCATCTTATTTTGATGTACTGCGTTGGGATTTCATCAACCCCAAGATGGTTGAAAACCTTCAATATATGGCAGCAAAGCATCCCATCCCTATGAAACTTGCAACACTCACATCTGTAGTCTCCAGCACTAGTTTCAACAGTCACAAAATAGCTCCTAGAACCATACTTAGCAACCCATTCTTGATTGGGGTAAAGCTCATACAAGTGTTCACCGTGGGGGCGCACGTTGTACCTTGTAGTCAACTGAAATTCATCGCGGAATTTCTCGTACAAGTCTCTAGTGTATGAATTGTAGGCTTGCTTTTCAATTGGGTAAGATGACCACATTTCACTTTGCAAATGTCATGTCCTGTAATCCTTCGCACCCTCTCAAACTAGTATGTGTGTTTGGATTTTCTGATATTGCTTCACGAAGTTCAAGATGGACTTGTGTGGGTTCACATAACGCTTAAGGACAGCGTTGAACCCCTCACTGTGTTGTGTTGACTGCAAGAAAGGGAAGAATTGATGCTTGAAGTAACAGGGCACCCATGTTTCTCGGTACTTGTATAGATTCTCAAAGTGGGAGTCAGTCATAGCCTCATACTTCATCATCAGCTCACACCAACCTGCCTCAAACTCCTGTGGTGTAAAGCTAAAGTCAACACAATTGTTGAAATCTTTAGACAAGCCAGGGTTTCGTCCCAACAATGGCCCAAGCTTCTCTTGTGCTTTCTTCATAATATGCCAGCGACAACAGCGGTGCACACTTCTAGGGAAGATTTTCTTAATTGACTGCGCCATTGCAATGTCTTGGTCGGTTATGATGTTGGTTGGCGCTACTCCATGCATTGCTTCAAGGAAGGTTTCGAATAGCCAATCAAAACTAGAAGCCAACTCTTGCCTAACGAAACCACAGCCCAACATAAATGATTGCCCATGTCTATTAATTCCAATAAACGGCGCAAAGGGCATGTTGTACATGTTAGTCATGTATGTTGTGTCAAAGGAGATGCAATCATGATAAGCTTCCACGTATGCCTTCCTTGCTGCACCATCGACCCAGAAAATATTCTCCACTCTGTCTTCTTCATCATACTTTATCTTGTAAAAAAAGTCTGGATCTTCTCTTTGCTGATCTTTGAAATATGCTATTGTCTCTATCATGTCGCCTTCTCTTGTAGCATCCTTGTTCAAGACCGTCTTCAGGTTCGTAATGTGCTTAGTTCCATAAGGCACAATTAGCTCTGTCCCATAGAAGTCTGACATGATGTGCATCATGAGCCCTGCATTCAATGGAGTCAAAATGAAGTCAAAATGGTGGTCAAACCCTTGTTACCTAAGAACAGTACAAAAAAACAATTTTGATTTCTTTCACCAACTAACACAACTAAGAACAGTCAACTCAAGTGGATATTTTAGGCATTTTCATCCTAATGTACAAGCAACTAACACAACAAACATGCAGGCAACCCACCAGTGGGTAAAAAAATAGAAGAACAAGCTTCATAAAACCAGTCAGACAAACTTATGTTTGGGCTGTGGTTTGTACTAACATGCATTTGCACAAAAGGCAGGTAGGCAGGTAGTAAATATACATTGAGCAACTAACAGACAATTTATAGGCAAGTCCATCTACCACATTTCACAACAAAGACAAGACAACAGAGGCACGACCCATCGCGTTTGTTTTCTGATCAAGAGCAGGCAAATACTACTTAAAAACAAGGCAAGTTTTAATGGGTAGCAGACTTTTTTTCATAAAAAACAAGCATGTTTGTGTGCTTAGTCTGGCAAATCACACACATGCTGCAAGCAAGATGGATACAATACTTGGGCAAGTCTGGGCAGTTAAAATTGTCGGAGAGAAGGGTAATATGGTTATAGACCTGTTGTCAAGTTGCAGTTATGTAGGTGGGTAAGGAATGCCTTTTCTTCTGGTGGGATACCTTGGTGCGATCTCAAGTACTTAGTCAAACTTGGTTTGTCAACTAGTGGATGGTTGTGCTCGCCAACAAAATATATCACTTCCCATCTGCCATCTATCAGTTTGACAACCATCTTAGCTTTGCAACCAGTTTGCACTATTTTATCTCTCTTCCGCTTCTTGCTCCTCTTTTTGGTTTTATTATCATCATCAAGAAAGACAATATCCTCGTCTTCATCATCATCTTTTGTTTGCTCAACGATATCATCCAGCATAGGAATTTTTTCTGCCCCTCCATCATCAGCTTCAGGCTTTCGAAACTTGTTGCAAACAAACTATTGTTTTATCAACACTCTAGTTTTCACAGCCTTTCTTGAAGTATTCATTTTGATTGAAAAACCAATCTGTAAGGCATATGCATTGTAGTGCTCTTTTGCGCCTTCCAAAGTGTCAAACCTCATGCCCACATGAGGCTCCTTCGGTTGTGACCAAGCATCTTCATCATTTTCAGCACCAAAGCCTGTCAAACCATTACCAACAGTCACACTTGTATCACCCGCGGCATCCGTGCCATCAAGGGTATGGCCATCAGTCTCAGATTCTTGCGCTGCAGGTGCTTGCTCATCTGTCTCCACTGTTTTTGCCACAGGAGCTGTGGCATTTTGCACTATATGAGGAGTAGGAGAATCACCGGTTAACTCAGGATTTTGAGCAGCCTGTTGTGTAGAGTTCACTGGATCACCAATATCCATATCATCTGGTTCCTCATTTAGGTCAATCATCTTTTTTACAGCCTGTGCAACATTTAAACCAGAAAAACCAAAGCTAGTTAGTTTGATATCAAGCAAGTAAGAAACTAAACCCAGGCAATCACAACTGAATGATAAGATAGCATATTTTTGTTGTTGTAAGAATGACTTCAACACAGAACATTTTTTGTCGTTGCTGAAAATCACAAACTGAATGATAAGACAACATCTTCTTTTGAGCATCTGTTTTTTGATTGTATCATAATTTTTACTAACCTTTTATCATTTTAAAATGCAGGCAACTCATACATATGCATGGTTTTCAAGGATCTCAAGGGGGAAGCAAGCTAGATGCCAGAGAATAGACATTTTTTTGGAGTGTTTTCAACATGGATTTCACACCAAAAACAGAGAGAGCAGCAGCATGTTTTGTGTCAGAAAAAACTTAAGAATAGCAGCAGTCATGGGCAACATATGTTTGTCCCTTTTTATGTTCAGTACTTTGTTTTTCTCTTAAAGTTTGTATTGGGAGCAACTTTGGTTATCACTGTCTTTGTGTAGTCGCTTTTCCAAGCAATCTGTTTGTCGAGGTCGTGAATTGTTTCTTCGTGCTGCAACTGATACATCCATTTTATAGTAGTTCTATAGGAAATTTCTTTTGCCATTTCTTTTTTGCAGGATCAAAATAGCAATATATGTTGCATCCACCCGCATTGTTCCCCGCCAATTGCAAGATCACAACAACAACAACTGTTGTAGGATCATGCAACCTACACCTTATTGGAAAGGTAAATTAAACCTCACTTTTTTTGTCACTGGTGAATAAAAGTACCAACGATAAACCATTTGTAGTAGATTTTAGCTTTTATACATCACTTGCTTCTTCACAATAGCTTTCTTGCCTACCCTCTTTATTCCAAGTTGCTTTTCCATCAGCCATGAGTTGCATGTTTTTCACAGTATTACTTGCCTAGTGTTCATTTTTTTTACAAGCTGATAATGCCAGCAATGATTTTTTTGCCTAGGTTTACAATGCAAGTTGCTGCAGACAATATTTTTTTTGCCTAACTTCATACAAGTTACGATGCAAGTTACTTTCTACAACCCATCAACCATCAGCCATGATGTTCATCCTTTTTTTTTCTACTTGACACATGCTTACAATCTTTTTGCTCAAACAAGATGTGTTTTTTGCTAGAACTAGCAGATGATTCAACACAGGGTTAAAAATCGTTCATATGAAAACAGGACGAAACACAGATGGAGAAAATCAAGAAGCAGCGCCATTTTTTTCTATAGAAGATGCTGGAGAGGGCTGGGGCTTGGGGAAGGTGAGCAGATCTACAACTTTTTACCTCTGAACTTGCCTGCTTCTGCTGCTTCTAGATGTGTTTAGATCAACAGTTTCATGGACGCCGTCCGTATTGCAGGCTTGAAGCTTTTGAGATCTGAGCAGGATGAACCTTGCCTCTTTCTTGGGGGAGAAGAAGATGTCTCTCTTTTGGGACGGCTGGAAGGGAATAGGAGGGGAGGAGAGGTGGGGATGGAGAAAAGTAGGATGGAAGAGAATCGTGTGAGTCGGGGTGGTGGAGCAGGTTGTGATCGCGGGGGAACGTCCCCTTTCTAATCGAGGGGGGACAGAAACTTACCTTTTCGGGGCCTATCAAGGCAGGCCGCCAGGAAACGCTAGGGAGCACACGGCTGCTCCCTAGACGCGTCCTTAATTTACAGGTGTAATTTACCGGGCCAGTAGTGATTTCCGGCCGGAAACAAAACGACGGACGGAAAGGTGTATTGTTTACAGGTGTATTGCTAAGCAAAACGAGATTCCAAGCGCGCCCTAAGCTGTAACCAGACCAACTTCTCATGACGTAGTAGACTACAGCTCCAACTTTCACACTTTCAAGTCTTCACACTTTCAAGTCCAGCACTAGTCTCTGCCACTGCCACCAACCACTCAACAAACTATACCTTCAGATCTGTGCGCGGCTAGCCGGCTACGGCCATGGAGTCTGGCGCCGACGAAGTAGTGTTCGACTGCGATGACTACCGCATATACCGGAGCGGCAAGATGGACCGCCTCTGTCGCCCGGCGCCTGCGCCCACCGGCCTAGACCCGGCTACCGGCGTCACGTCCAAAGACGTGGTCCTTGACTCTGCCACCGGCGTGTCCGTCCGCCTCTTCCTCCCCACCAGCCCAGATCCCTTCAAGAAGCTCCCGATCCTCGTCTTCTTCCACGGTGGCGGCTTCCTCGTCGAGTCGGCCGTCTCCCCGCAGTACCACAACTACGTCGCGTCCCTCGCTGCCGCGTCCGGCGTCGTCGCCGTCTCCGTCGAGTACCGCCTAGCGCCCGAGCATCCGGTGCCCGCCGCCTACGACGACGCCTGGGCAGCGCTTTCGTGGGCCGCCTCGGCCCAGGACGAGTGGCTCGCCGAGCACGGCGACAGCGCGCGCCTCTTCCTCGCCGGCGACAGCGCCGGCGGCAACATGGTGCACAACGTCCTCATGAGAGCGTCGTTCCAGCCGGCGCCGAGAATAGAAGGCGCGATTCTTCTGCATCCTTGGTTCGGAGGAAACACGTTCCTCGAAGGTGAGGCCGAGGCGACGGCCAAGGACATGGCCATGATCTGGGAGTTCGCGTGCCCCGGCGCGGTGGGCGGCGCGGACGACCCGAGGATGAACCCGATGGCGCCGGGGGCCCCGGGGATGGAGAATCTCCGGTGCGGGCGGATGCTCGTGTGCGCCGGCGAGAAGGACTGGCTGGCGTCCAGGGACCGAGCGTACTACGCGGCGGTGACCACGAGCGCGTGGCGCGGGAGCGTATCTCGTGGGGGCGTGGCGTGGATCGAGTCGGAAGGCGAGGGGCACGTCTTCTTCCTGAAGAAGCCGGACTGTGCCAAGGCCAAGGAGCTCATGGCTCGCGTCGTGGCGTTCATCATACCGGCGCCTGAGCCCTGATCGGTGCGCGCAACGTAGATCTGATGTTACAATCCGATGGACTGGTGCATGTAACGCGCTTGATGAAGGACACAACAATGGCCATTTCCTTCGCCGCCTTCTCCGCCACGACGGAGTTGGATCTCGCGGCTCTGGAGAAATAATACATGTGCTCCTCGCCATCCGTCTCGTACAGCACGGCCTCCTCGCCGCCCCACGCGCTGCGGCGGAGCGCCTCGACGTACATGCGCGCCCTGTCCCTGGAGGGGTCGAGTTCGGCCGCCGTCACCAGCGCCCGTCGGCAGCCGAGCACCGCCCACTCCTCCGGCGGCATCACGAGCGGGTTGGAGAACGTGTGGTCGAGCCCATACTTGCCAGCGCAGACGAACCGCCAGTTCCTCTCGGCGGTCTCCGTGGTGTCCGTGCCTTCCGACGGCGCCGGAGCCTTGCCCAAGAACAGCGGGTGAAGCAGCACCATCCCTTCGATCCGCGCGCCTCCCAGGAGCCCTTCCTTTCCGGCCCTCATCACCACGTTGTGCGCCATGTTGCAGCCGCTGCTGTTGCCGGCGACGAAGATGCGCGTGGGGTCGCCGTGGTCGGCCAGCCACGGCTCCGTCTCCGGGCCCGCCGAAAAGCAGCTCGTCGCTGTCCAGCGGAGTGCGGCCCACGCGTCGTCGTAGGCGGCGGGGAGCGGGTGCTCGGGGGCGAGGCGGTACTCCACCGACACGGCCACGACGCGGGCGGCGGCGACAAGGGCGTTGACGTAGCTGGTGTACCTGAGGGAGAAGGTAGACTCGGCGACGTAAGCGCCGCCGTGGAAGTAGACGAGGACGGGGAGCTTCTGGGACTCCGGGACGCTCTTGGGGAGAAAGAGCCGCGCGTCGAGGCCTGTGCCGGCGTCGATGACAACGTCCTTGGAGGCGACACAGGTGGTGGCGTCGGTGCCGGCGCTCTTCCGCGACGTTAGACCAGAGCGTTGGACGCGGCCGCTCTTGTACACGATGTCCGGATCCATGGCGCCCCGGCGGAGAGGGGAATGGCAAAGGTTGTTTGTGGAAATAATTGGTCTTCTGATCGCCAATCGCACTTACTTCACTGTTTATAGATCCATTTCTGTGTTGTACAATTTGCTTCCTGGTCTTTGATTAACCAGAAAGTCAATATTCCTGAAGGTGAAGCGAAAGGTGACAGCGGTGCTTGCGTAGAAATCCACTTCTAATAATAATGTCAACAGAAATCCACCTCTAATATCAAAAGAAGTGATCGCTATATGTAAACTGTTAGAGCAACTCCAATGGGGGCGACCCATTTTGTTCGCCGTCGTCCGTTTGGGTCGGCACCGACACAAAAGACGGTCCAACGCGCCGACCCAAAGGGACGCGCGTCGCTTTTCGTCCGTCTGCCGACCCATTTCCGGCTCATTTTTTAGCCGGATTTGCATCGGCACGGACACAAGACGGACGCGCGCGCGCTCGCTCTCTCTCCTCCCCTGGCCCGCTGGTCGGTGACACATTGGCCTCTCCCCATCCAACAACACACTCTCGCCCGCCTGCTTCGTCACCGACGCGGCGGCCATTTCTTCGATAGAAAAAAGGATACATAGATAGTCCTAGCATAGACAGATAAAAGAAAAGGTCAACTACTCATCGTTTTCCGACTCCGACTCGGTAATGTCCTCCTCCGACGTCTGAATGTAGGCGTCATCATACCGCTCGTCCTCGGAGTCCCAGGACGACGCTTCTCCTAGCATCATGTTCAATTGAGCGGCCTACTTCCGTGCACGCTTGTCCTCACGATAGGCGGCTCGCTCCGTCCTCCTTGCCTCCCTCTCCATCCTCCTTTACTTGTAGAACTCGTGCTCGTTGACGATGTCCTGCGGGAAGCGTTCACGCCACACCGCCATGGCTTTCACGTCCATCTCGGCGATGGCGAGGCGACGCTGCCGCCTCCGGTTGTCATGACGCTCTTCGTCGGTGAAAAGCCGCGGGTGAGGCGCGAGATCCTGCGCCCGCTGGCTCGTTGACACGTCCGAAAAATTCATCTCCCGACTAGGCCGCCGGAGGCGCCACGCCGCCGCGTCATACGCGCGGGCCGCCTCCTCTGCGGTGTCGAAGGTGCCGAGAATGAGGCATTTCTCAGCAAACCAGATCTCAGAGGAGAAGGCGCCGGAGCGGCGCTCGCGGACTCCACGAAAATCCAAAGCGCCCAGGCGGCGCATCAACATGGTGGCGCACAGGCGGCGAGGCTAGTGAGAGGGGGCGAGACGAGTGGGAGGCGGGCAGAGTGTGAAGGAGCGCCTTCTTATAACGAGCGCCGGTCGCGGCGCGCCAAAACCGGCATGCGCTAGGCCGATTTTCCCCCGCATGCGTGAACCTTTCCCGTGCGCTCGAGCGCCAAAACCAGGGTGACGACATGGCCGCTGGCATGATCTATGCGCGCGCGGTCATGAAATGGGTCGACGCGTTGGACGCACTGCCGAACCAAATCTAAAAGAGGGCGGGCGGCCGACCCAAATGGAAAAAAAGCGGACAAAAGAGTCGTCTGTTTGGGTCGGCGCGTTCGAGTTGCTCTTAGAGCGGGGCAACCCAAACGGACGGCGATTTCGTCCGCATTTTGTTCGGTTGGGTCAGCTGTCCGCCCTGTTTTAGATATGAGTCGGCAGCGCGCCCAACGCGCCGACCCATATGTGCCGGCATGGCCGACTGGCCGCCCTATTTTCCATTGATGAATTTGCATAGTTTGAATCAAATAATATAGTTTGTACCGAAAATAGCATAGTTTTACAAGCCGAATAAAAATAAAAATGTCTGACATAGTTCTCACATAGTTTTACAAACGAATAAAAGAAGATACATCTATTGTGTGACGCCCCCGATTCAATCGTACACTAATCATGCACGCAAATGTGTACGATCAAGATCAGGGACTCACGGGAAGATATCACAACACAACTCTACAAATAAAATAAGTCATACAAGCATCATAATACAAGCCAGGGGCCTCGAGGGCTCGAATACAAGTGCTCGATCATAAACGAGTCAGCGGAAGCAACAATATCTGAGTACAGACATAAGTTAAACAAGTTTGCCTTAAGAAGGCTAGCACAAACTGGGATACAGATCGAAAGAGGCGCAGGCCTCCTGCCTGGGATCCTCCTAACTACTCCTGGTCGTCGTCAGCGGCCTTCACGTAGTAGTAGGCACCTCCAGTGTAGTAGGGGTCGTCGTCGGCGGTGGCGTCTGGCTCCAGGGCTCCAGCCTCTGGTTGCGACAACCAGGTAGAAGGGAAAGGGGAAAAGAGGGAGAAAGCAACCGTGAGTACTCATCCAAAGTACTCGCAAGCAAGGAACTACACTACATATGCATGGGTATATGTATAAGGAGGCCATATCGGTGGACTGAACTGCAGAATGCCAGAATAAAAGGGGGATAGCTAGTCCTATCGAAGACTACGCTTCTGGCAGCCTCCGTCTCGCAGCACGTAGAAGAGAGTAGATTGAAATCCTCCAAGTAGCATCTCCAAGTAGCATATCCAGGTAGCATCTCCAAGCGCATCTCCAGTCGCATCGCATAGCATAATCCTACCCGGCGATCCTCTCCTCGTCGCCCTGTAGAAAAGCGATCACCGGGTTGTCTGTGGAACTTGGAAGGGTGTGTTTTATTAAGTATCCGGTTCTAGTTGTCATAAGGTCAAGGTACAACTCCAAGTCGTCCTGTTACCGAAGATCACGGCTATTCGAATAGATTAACTTCCCTGCAGGGGTGCACCACATAGCCCAACACGCTTGATCCCATTTGGCCGGACACACTTTCCTGGGTCATGCCCGGCCTCGGAAGATCAACACGTCGCAACCCCACCTAGGCAAAACAGAGAGGCCAGCACGCCGGTCTAAACCTAAGCGCACAGGGGTCTGGGCCCATCGCCCATAGCACACCTGCACGTTGCGAGGGCGGCCGAAAGCAGACCTAGCCTAGTGGCGTTCCAGTCCAATTCGGCGCGCGCCGCTCCGTCGCTGATGTCTGAAGTGCTTCGGCTGATACCACGACGCCGGGATACCCATAACTACTCCCGCGTAGATGGTTAGTGCGTATAGGCTCGTAGCCGACTCAGATCAAATACCAAGATCTCGTTAAGCGTGTTAAGTATCGGCGAACGCCGAAAAGGGCCAGGCCCACCTGTCTCCTAGGTGGTCTCAACCTGCCCTGCCGCTCCGCCACAAAGTAACAGTCGGGGGCCGTCGGGAACCCAGGCCCACCTCTACCGGGATGGAGCCACCTGTCCTTTCAGCCCCCTCGTCAGAATCACTTGCGGGTACTCAATGAGCTGACCCGACTTTAGTCACCATCTGTATAGTATGTATGTATATATAGTATATACCCGTGATCACCTCCCAAGTGATCACGGCCCGATAGTATAGCAAGGCAGACTGACAAGAATGTAGGGCCAATGATGATAAACTAGCATCCTATACTAAGCATTTAGGATTGCAGGTAAGGTATCAACAGATGTAGCGACAATGTCAGGCTATGCATCAGAATAGGATTAACGAAAGCAGTAACATGCTACACTACTCTAATGCAAGCAGTATAGAGGAGAATAGGCGATATCTGGTGATCAAGGGGGGGGGGCTTGCCTGGTTGCTCAGACAAGAAGGAGGGTTCGTCAACTCCGTAGTTGAACTGGGCAGCAGCAGCATCGGTCTCGTAGTCTACCGAAGAGAAGAGGGGGAAGAAACAATAAATACAGTGCAAACATAAGCAAGACAACACAAGACACGATAAAGAGCGAAGCTAGTTGTGTCCTAACGCAGTATGAGGTGATGCCGGCGAAGGGGGAAAACATCCGGGAAAGTATTCCCGGTGTTCCGTGTTTTCGGGCAGAGGAGCCGGAGGGGGAAAGTTGCGAGTTTGATATGTTAGGGGTGTGTGGCGGACGAACGGGTTGCGTATCCGGAATCGTCTCGTCGTTCTGAGCAATTTTCATGTTGAAAATATTTTAATCCGAGTTACGGATTAAAAGAT